TGTGTGTGTGTGTGTGTGTGTGTGTGTGTGTGTGTGTGTGTGTGTGTGTGTGTGTGTCTGTCTGTCTATGTATATGTATATGTATATGTCTATGTATATCTATATGTATATGTCTATGTATATCTATATGTATATGTCTATGTATATCTATATGTACATGTTTATGTGTGTGTAAATATATGCATACATGTATGCATATATATACATATACATATACATATATATGTATATATGTATGTGTGTGTGTATATATATGTGTACATATATATATATATATATATATATATATATATATATATATATATATATATATATATATATATATATATATACATATACATATACATATATACACATATACATATACATATAATATAATATATATATATATTATACATTATATATTGTATATTGTATATTGTATATTATATATTATATATTATATATTATATTATATGTATATGTATATGTGTATATATGTATATGTATATGTATATGTATATGTGTATATGTATATGTATACGTATATGTATATGTATATGTATATGTGTATATATATATATATATATATATATATATATATATATATATATATATATATATATATATATATATATATATATATATATATATAATGAACATGTACATACATATGTACATATATACATTTAGATACAAATGAAAAATAGTTATTTTAACTATTTCAATTATTTTTGAAATGCATTTCTGCTTGGAGGAATGTAGATGATGGTAAAACAATGATTTTCTCAATATGCAGGTACTACGGACTTTGGTTGTGGTTCCCAGAATTGTTCAATCGTCTTCAGTTATACTATAATGACCATCCAGGTGATAAGGTAAAGTAGTTCTTATATGTGTTGATATATTTTTCTTTTATTTTAATACTTAGTGTTATTAAACAAATGCCTCCAGGGATGAAATATATGTACATTCCTACTGTGAACAAATTTCACATACTCAATAAACACACGTGCACATGTACACGTACACAAACAGATGCATGCATGCTCACTTTACTTTACTTTGACATGTGTTCACACACACACACACACACACACACACACACACACACACACACACACACACACACACACACACACACACACACACACACACACACACACACACACACACACACACACATACACACATGTATATGTTATTTTTTAAAACTGATAATTTGATGAGATATAACCTTCAGTCAATATGATTTATAACCATGCATAGTCATATATATTTACAAAACATTTAAAACATGGATTAACATAGTTCTAAGATCAGAGAAGAGACAGCCTATGTGCTTATATTCGATCTCTTTTCCTAGGTAAGCGTTTGCGACCTGACAAACTTCAAGGGGAATGAGACAGTGCAAACGTCCAATTGCAATTCAGGGGAAGAGATTGTGGATCCACAAGCACTTGTAAATACACTGATTACAGCTGTGGCCCCACTACCAAGCAATCTCTGGACCATTTTCTATATGGATAGACTCGGCAGGAAATTTTTCCTTGGTTAGTTAAAGCAGTGTTTGTTTTTCTCATTGGGGTTGATTTTCAGTTTGGAATTGATAGTGATGTGTGTAAGGGAAGATGTGAGTGGTTGTTGCACTTTTGTTTGTGGATGCAGTTGTTCTGTGAAATATAAAAAGAAACATTAAAATTTTAGTTTGGAAGTTAATTTAGTAAGATTTTCAAATGATTTAGATTAGGGGTTCAATCTGAGAATATTGTTGATACTTAGAGATCAATGAACTTCATTGAACTTCATGACCATATAAAATAAGAAAGAAAGTATTTGGACACAGTACATATTTATAGGCATATTTCTTTATATTCTTTCTATATTTTCAGTGCTCAGCATGGTGTTATCGGGGGGATCAGCCTTTGGCATATACTTTGTAAAAAGTGCAACAGATAACCTCATTCTCAGCTGTGTTTTCGGTGCAGTTTCAACAATGGGTTTTAATGCCCTAGACTGCCTTGGAGCAGAACTTTTCCCGACACATCTACGGTATGTTGCTGTATCATCACTTTCATTTATACCCATGGATATTTTAATATGGCATAATTTACATGAATATTTGTGCATGTATTTGCTTGACTATTTATTCTTATAAATGTGGTATGAATACTTCAGTTATGCATTAATATATGTCGCTTGCAGATCAACTGCATTGGCAGTCACCTTGCTGGCTGCTCGCCTTGGAGCAATAGCAGGGAATTTGGTGTTTGGCAGTTTAATTGATGTGTATTGTGCAGTACCAATGTTTATGGTTGCATGCCTTTTAATTGGTAAGTATAGGAGGGAAAGTTACCAAAATAATGTAATGTAATTTTTTCAGTGATTTCCACCTGTGGTAATTATTTATTAAATGCTACACCTGTTTAGTTTTTTTTTTATTATTTTTTTCTGAAAGCTAACATTTCTAGCAAACAGGAAGTGGGTGTGTGTTATATCCTGTTTACTTTGAGAGAGGGTAAGAAGGGGTAAATAAGATAACATTCCAATATGAAGCCTCTATTACTGTACAGATATAATGTCTGTACTGTAATTTGAAAGTGATCCAAGCTGAGGCTAAAGAGCTATGGTTTTGTGCTAACGAGTGGGCGTGATCTGTCCATCCTTCATTAAATCTCATCTGCCTTAAGCTGATCTGTCCATTTAGGTTAAATGTCACTAATTAATGACTAATTAATACATTTCATATCAGTGTGTTATATAGATGGGCGTTTGTTCTTTAATATTAAATACAGTTAATATTCATAACTTTTTTACTTGCTTATTTTATAATGTGTATTTTTTTCCAGCTGGAGGTGTTATGGGGCTTCTGCTTCCGAATACAACAAGAGTGGCATTGACGTAATTCCAGTTGATGAAAAGTATCTTCTAAAGATGAAGAAATGTTTTTTTTCTCTTTTTTATGGCTAAATGTACTGTGAGAATTTTTAATTAGAGTATTTTATTTCATCAGAAGTGCAATTGACCTTCTGAAATGGGAACTGCTTATAATGCACATTCCAATACTTATGTTTTGTTTTTTTCTTGCAACATCACTCGGTTATTTGATGCAAGTTCTTTTACACACTTCTTACTTCTTTCACTTACAGATACACTATACTTGCTTTTATATATATGTAAAACCCTCAGAATCACAAGCTACTTTCTGCCATAAGCAAAAAGCTCAATAAAAACATGTCAAACATCTTTTTACTTCAAAAATGCCACAACATTGAAAGGAAGGCAGATACTCCCTTGTTTTATTTTTTATGTGTATGAAAACATTAATTTGAAGATACAAACACTCACATCTAAAAAAAATATATAAATAACTAGACAATAAAATTTAAAAATCAAAGTCCATTAACTCGTGCCATGAACAGTCAGACCTGTGCAAATTATGCATGCAAAATTGATGTTTTCTTGTTTCGTTCTGAGAAACATACATTTGGGGTAAGTGTGTGTTTCTTGTGCATCTAATTTTTTACTCGAGCTGTTGACTGTGCGATGTTTAGTGTGTGGCTCAGTATTGTGTTGTGTATTGTGTTCATATGACAGTCTAACTCAGTAACAACAGAAAATTTCTTTTGGTAAAGTTGGGTAAGTACAAGTATTCATTATGAATATTGTACACTGTGATAAGTGTAGAACAAGATATGAATGGGAATCTTTAGAGTCCAATAGATGTGTTTGGCTGGTTTTGACTACATCTTTGTCAGAGATACTTATTTGATGAAGATATAATTTAAATGGGTTATGCATTCCTTGTACTATGAAGATATTCATTCTCATTCATACCTTTTTTATACAAGTATTCATTAGTTCAGGTCCATGCAGGGATGATTAATATGGCTTGTGGTAGTTCACTCAAGACTTCATCCTGGTGATTAGAACATGATTTAATGAAATATTACCCATTACCTTTCATCTGCCTTACTCATTATGACATGATATCACACCACTTGTATATAGTATTTGTTTTACTTGTAACATCTCTTTTTAAATCTTTCTAATAAGTGTTATTTCCTCAAGTCAAAGTGCTGTTACATCACATTTAAATTTACAATTCTGTTTCAAAAATTTATATATAAATATAAGTTCTGAAGAAAGAGTTACCCGGGGCCTGGCTGTACTGTCAGTGGCCCTCCAACCTGCCACAGTGATCTCAGATGACATATGACACACTTTGTAATTGGCCTACCAGTACAACAGCCCATATGCTCCAATTGGAAAGTACAGTGTGGACATCATGCAGCTCATATATGGTGCTACTGACACCACATTAAACAGTGACAATTTCTTGCACTGTGCAAAGATCATTAGATGCAATTGCCTTACTCTACAGATGAAGTAGTGGAATATATAGTATTATATTTTTTCGAAGTGTGATGGAAAGTATTTTGTGGTTCTTCATACACTTTAATTGATTTCATATACCAGTACACTTTGCTTGTTCACATGTATGATTACACTACTGCAGTCTTATACAAATGCACTATAACATCTGTTAGTCTGTATACTTGCATGCTTAAACCAGATTTTTAAAATGAAAGAAAAAAATATTTTTGTGAAACTGAGCATATATTTATATTTTACTGTAAGTTGTTTTATAGAAATTTTAAGGGACAGACTTTGTATTATTTTTAAAAACCAAATATTTTAAAGCATTTAAGGTTGTATGAGTCTGTCATATCTAATCCAGCATGGTGCTTGAAGCATGCCTAGTGAATGAAAATACCGAATCACACAAGGATTACCTCTAAGCAGTAGATGGTTGAAGTTTTCAACCCTCTATAAGTTTTTCTTGTAATTATATTGGCTGTGTTAACTGAATTGCACGTAGCTAGATTAGAGGTGGCAGATGTGTATTAAAATGTCACTAATGTTTGAAGAAGGAATCTATAATTTTTTTAGAGCTTAAATACATTTTTTTTTTTTTTTCTTTTATCAGAGATCTCAAAATATACTTGAGAATTCAATGAATTTGTTAAATGTACTTAGAAAGTAATCAGTCAGTGACATTGAGGTTATGTTGTGGGACATCTTATAATTAGGATGCTAAAGTTCATATATATCCATACAGAATATGTATATAAATTTGTATATGTATATGTATATATCTTCACTTATTTTAGTATGTGAAATGTGCAATTATTAAAATGTAATGAACTGTAATTTTTTATTTCCCAAAATTATGTATTTTGTCTCTCTCTTTTTTTTTTTAGTATGTAAACAAAAATATTTCTTTGTGAATTTTAGTTATGGATAATAGTACGTTCATATACATTTTTCTGTTATTCATAAAGAGTCTGTAAACCCAATCAGTACAGATGGCAAGAATACATGCCATGCCACTATAATATAAGTTTATTTATTGTATTTACACATAGATGGCTTAGTCACCAAGGAATCAGTTCTTAATCTTACCTGCCTCACATGTTTACCCTTTTCCTTGACCTTTAGAAAGCTTTTTTTGTATTTTTTTGTAACAATAATAACAGTATTGATATCAATTGTAATAAAAAGAAAAACACTTTCCCACCAATTCAAGGAATGGGGAAATCAGGATCGGTCACTAGGGCCTACTGATAGACTCCTTGCCGGCTGAGGACATGTGGAGCCATCTGTATGTAACAAAATTTACAAAAAACTACAGGGGACAGAACATAAATCCATGGTGGTTGGGCTAAGATGGGCAGACATACCTTAATAGAATGTAAGAATATGCTAATAATATGGAATCACAATTATCATTTTTAACAATCATATATTACATTATTATTTTTAACCCACTGACAACACAGTATTCCATGATGAGAATGGGTTAGAATTCCAGATAATCCCTATTCCTTCCATGACAATGGAGAATTTTATTGTTCCAAAGGTGTTATTTCCTAGGCAACAGTAGTCTAAAGTTAGTCTTAATCATTGCTTTTCATTTTTCGGCTTGATGTAGCAAACTTCCATGCTCAAAATTGGCTTGTTGCCATTAATCTCCAGAGCAGAGTTTTTTTGTTTTTTTTTCTTAACCCATCAGTAAGGGGTTAAAAAAACAATTTGCATAACAATCAATGTGGTACTTTTCCAGAAGAATAGTGCTTTATAATGATGCCATTCAGTAGATATAGATTAGCAGTTTAAGTGTTAGGACCAATAGAATGTAGATGGTTCTGATTCCCTGGTTAGTCCACTTGGGTGTCATTGGTTGCAGAAAGAGCATTCTTCTTACCCATTTTCCCTACCAACCACATAGCAACCAACTCAACACTGCACTGTTTCAAAAGGACATTACTCTACCTTATTTCTAACATTTGGATTAGCTGCTTAGGAATTATGCTAGCCAGCTACAAGGTTGAGATCCTGACCTCTCTAATTTTTTTTAATATTAAAAATCATTGATAAGTGGGCATTATCACAACTGATCAAAAACTATGTAATAGCAACAGATTTATATTATATATATATATATATATATATATATATATATATATATATATATATATATATATATATATATATATATATATATATATATATTCAAATCCTCCTTTTCCCTTCCAGATATTTGAGTCCCAAACACCAATGCCCCATCCTCGGCATTATTTTTTTTCCAACTCCGACAATACTCATGGCAGCACACATTAGCTTTTCCACAATTATGTCAGGGCAGTGCTGTTGCACATAAAAAGAAACACCAATGGAGTGGCTAATAAACCATTAACACCAATTTAATGTTGTTCATATTCATCACTTAAACATTATCTTCAAATTATTTGTTTATAATGTGAATTTTCTTTACATGTTCATGGCTACAAAAGTGCTTAGTCAACAAGAAGTCAATAAGTAGGCTGACCTGACTTCACCAGATTATCCTATTCCCTTAATACATTATCTGTGGGGACAGGTGAGTGACCATTTGAATTTGCAATATACATATCTGTTACTGACATATTTTGTGTTCAATCCATTCACATCTGGATGATGCCTTATCAAGTCATGGCAGACTATCTCCTCACAACAGAACATCTCATCATACGAGCTCGAACCTGCTCTAAGTTGCACATGCAAAATAATTGTGCACCTGTTTGACCCGAACTGTATTTGCTGAGGAGAAATACCACTCTAAAGCAGGATTACAGTCTCTATTTACCCTCATTACCCCCAAAAATAATTTATGCCTCAGTTAAAACCATATAGAATGGGGACTCAGGATACACATTGTTCAGTACTGGGGGCACCCATCATCATTGGGTTAAACAAAAGAAAAAATACTTGTCATCCTGATGCACTGTACAGTATGGCACTAGGGGTACCCATCATCACTGGGTTATACGAAAGAAAAGGGCAAGGGCAAACTCTAGTTGCAGAATTTCTCATTAATGTAAACTAAACTTAGCATAAAATTTCATTTCCAGTAATTTTTAAAAGTAAAATCCTCAATCAAGTCATAAGTCTGTAAATACCCAAGAAAATGTTAGCATTATCTCACATATTGGAAAGGATAATAAAAATTATATAATGTTTCATATCATGTATTGGTAACTCAATAATTCAGCTTACAAAGTAAATATTTGCAAAGCAAAGTCACCGCACTTGTGGAACAACTTCCAACGAGACGGAATAGTCAACCCAACTTTCTAACTACAAAAAAGAAAAAAAAAAGGAAAAAGAAAAGGAAAAAAAAAAGCCTGCATTGACATTTACCAACACAATTAAGAAGCCATTTTTCAAGTCACTATTAAAAACCTCAACAATATATATATAAACGTATAAGCAGCATCGGGTAAAATCACTTCGTTTGAGAAGCGCAAGTAAGATCAAGCAGTAATAAATGTATAAGCAAAATTATAACTACTTGCAATTTATCCTACTTGTCACATAAAAAGAGACTGATCAGATAAAAATAAAATATGGCAGACTTTTAAATAAAATAACGTACCTGTAAATGATATTGGCACCCAAGAGGGAAAATGAGTCTCAATGACGGTAATGTATTGTATTGCATCATCAAAAGAACCTGTGGAACTCATGGAGGAGATACCCATTTGTGGATGAAATTGATCACCTGTTTAAGCTTTCTTTTTTCTTTGAAATTATGTCCTGACAATTTTTGCCATATTAAGAAATCAAAAGGGAGAATGGGTAGAGAAAGAAGAAAGGTGAAGGAAGGTGGTGAGAAGAAAGAAGGGAGGGAAACGTATAGAAAGAAAGAAGAAAGAGGAAGAAAATTCACAAATGGCTTGCAAATAAGATGCTGAACCTTACTCTTTTCTGCACTTTTCTTTCCTTTTTCCATTAACCCATTCACACCGGGTGTCACGTATACGTGACATGCCCACTGCGAGTTTACTTGTTTCATTGTTTTTACACATAGAGGGCTACACTTGTTGCGAATACTGCCTGTCTCGCCCATTAACCCTTTTCTTTAATTTACAAAAATATTTTACGTTATCTTATTTTGCTGTTGCTAATGTTTATAACATTATAGTAATTATAATGTTTATAATAAAAATAACCATTGATATTCATAGCACTAGTAAAAAATACATTTTTCTGCCAAATGAAATCAGGTAAGGCAGAGTCATCTATGTGTAGAGACATTTCACAAAAAATATAAAAAATGAGCACAGCATTTTCCCCATTTTTTGTTCATTTTTACCCGTCGTGAATGGGCTAACAAAATTATTTTTCAGGATATGTGTATCTATCCTAACTTGATATAGTAACTTGAAGTAAAAAAATTTACCTTTCTAACATATCAAAATTGGGCAAGCTACAAACCTTTTTTAGCAATACATTTCAATGTTCATTTCCTTATTATTGCCAGTTGCCACAAATGAAGATAACTTAATAAAGTTGATCATTTCTGAAATAAGAATTTATAGGTTGCAAACCCAAGATAAACACCCCTACAAACCAGTACATAACAGCACACGATAACCTTTACATTACGATTGTCACCATCTCGGCACAGTTTTGATACTTAACAACCATTTGAATAAACAATTTGCATCAAATAAGGTTGTCAATATGTGCTTGAATTACGCATATACTCTAACCACTTATGATCCTTGGCCTGATAAGTGGTCGAACACAGCAACAATGTCTTAGGTATGTCTTAATCATACTTTTGTGACAACACTAATAGTGGCTCTTGTTACAACAGTGATATTGGCTTTTACTTAAAATTGTGCAATTACATTATTAATTATTTTTTTTTAGTTCTTTCTCTTCTTTTTATTCAACCAAATTCTGCCTGAAATTTTGGTATCACAATACAGGCAAACTGGATGGTAATGAGACCACCTCAGCTGTCTCAAATATAATTATTTCCTCTATTCTTTTACTTACTATTCTTATATTCTCATTTAAACAGGCTATTAAAGATTCCAGTGACTTTTTTATGAATACTGATATAGAAGTATACAAAATAGGAACCATGACAGTTAGTATTACCTAATATTTGACTTTTTTTGTTTTGTTTTACAGTATACAAACTTAGTATTATGAGTTCCTGATTTCTTTTTAACACTTGACCTGTCACTGTGAGGCTTCTTTGTCCTTCCAATGATTTACTCAAAATCAAATTTACACATATATGCTCCTATGAATTTTAAAATGTAACAGCAAGTGGGCCTGATGATTTTCAACACTACTAAAAACTAAATAATGTTTTCCTCTTCAGACAGCTTGTTTGTTTAGTCATGCAATAACAATACATGCTTTGCTTTCATAATTACTATAAATAATATAAACCTCTAAAAATCTATACTCTATATGGGATAATAAGAGTAGAATTCACCATTACATACTAACATGCAAGAGCCAAATAAAAGCCAATTATGGAAGACAATAATCATATAACAGTCAAACCTTCCAAATATTTCATGACTCCTTAATCCAGAACTGATACAGCTCCCAAGCACTTCACAATATGGTTTGAATTCTACCATTACACCATTATGAAATATTCATATCTAAAACAATATATTGACCAGTTGAAACAAAAGTATATAGTATGTTGCTTTCAATCCTCAATATGAGGCTTCTTTGTCCTTCCAATGATTTACTCAAAATCAAATTTACACGTATATGCTCCTATGAATTTTAAAATGTAACAGCAAGTGGGCCTGATGATTTTCAACACTACTAAAAACTAAATAATGTTTTCCTCTTCAGACAGCTTGTTTGTTTAGTCATGCAATAACAATACATGCTTTGCTTTCATAATTACTATAAATAATATAAACCTCTAAAAATCTATACTCTATATGGGATAATAAGAGTAGAATTCACCATTACATACTAACATGCAAGAGCCAAATAAAAGCCAATTATGGAAGACAATAATCATATAACAGTCAAACCTTCCAAATATTTCATGACTCCTTAATCCAAGAACTGATACAGCTCCCAAGCACTTCACAATATGGTTTGAATTCTACCATTACACCATTATGAAATATTCATATCTAAAACAATATATTGACCAGTTGAAACAAAAGTATATAGTATGTTGCTTTCATCTCAATAAATTAATGTTTTTTTTTTTCTTTTTTCCATTATCACAATGAAGTGAATGGTACTACAATAACTACAAATCTAAATCACACATATAAACCCAATATATAAACTGCATCTACCCAGTCTAAATCATGCCCAAACTACAGGAGCTTTTCTTCAACAATCTACTGTGCCGCTAACTCGGTTCACACCTACATAAACACGAGTGTTGGAGCACTTCACAAAAATGCTAACTAGTCTTCTGTGTTGTACATCTCAATAAATCTGCATAAGTATATATTCAAATACCTTTTTTCTTGATCTATTAAGAAAAATTGATCTTAATTCACTTATATAAAAATTTTGCCTAGAGGTTAAGGAAATTTTTAGCATGGGTTCAGACATATTATCCTCAATGACAACAAAAAATAATGGAATAAAAACAAACAAATAAGTCCAACAGAATGAAAGAATGCAGACAAATGCAGATTTATTGGTGATGCATGGCAGAAGGACACAAGCTAATTGAAATAGATTTATTCATCATTAAGATTTCAGCACCTAGATTAAAGGCCGCATTTCAAAGGAAATTAGCACCTATACATGTCCCATAAATTGTTATTTTTCTGTTTTTCTATATATGCCTTTTTAATGATCCTTAAAAGTAGTCACAACCATTAAGCTATATTTCATTGAAATTTTTAACCTGTTTTGAATATGGACATGTAGTATGACCCTTTGTTATATATTCAATATTTAAATTTCCCACTTTAAAAATTCCTCACTTTTTATCCTGGCTGTATTATATAATGGCCTTGATATTTATTGTCCTTATGTTTTTCTTGCCAAAAAAACAAATAAAAATAAATAGCAGACACCAAATATCTATATAAAAAAAAAACCTACAATATAATGTCCTTACATCATTCATTCTTTTGCATTATGATGATCTCAGTGTTTTATAAATCAGGCTCTAACGGCAATTCCATGAAGAAAAAATATTTGGTGCATTAGTACTATGACAATGAAATAATATGACTACCATTTGCATACTCCTTAGACTTTCCCCTATATATGGATATAAGACTGGTTACAACATCCCTAAATATCATACAGTCACCTTGAAACACCTTTCTAAAACCCTTGTCAGACACCAATGATGGCCCCCTTAGGAGACACCACACTCCCGTACAGCCTATTCTAATAAATAATCATGCAATTCTTCCTATAAATATATATGACTTGTAATACCTAAAGAAGATGCCCATCACCCTATCCCTCAAGTACAACCATGCTGTTCCCAGCTTTCCTAAAATCACACATTTATCACCAGCTGATGTCATTCCAATTAACTTTAGAATTATTTGTTTTAAAAAAAGTAACAGCAAAATAATTAACATGAACAAAGCAAATGTATAAAGCAATTAACGTTCATAATTAAGCAATTTATTGCAAATTTGTACCATGGTCAGAATGACCACCCTGTTCACAATAAAAAAAGGGTGAAAACAGAAAGAGTGAAAAAAAAGAAGAAATGATAACAAAAGACAATTTGCAATTTGTACCATGACCTATATCAGCCATATCTACCCTGAGTTACTCTAAGCAGCCTTCTGGGAACATCGTTCTCACATACAAAGTATTCATTTCACCCCACTATTTGGAGGATGTGAAATCCAACCCTTCTTTTCAAAAATAAAATATTTGTAAATTAAACAATACAGTTCATGATGATATATATTACTGCTGAACCTTCCTAAACCATCCAAACCCCTAAGTCACATAAATACAATTAGACCCCAAAAGGAAAGAGGTGCAATGGTGTAGGTGACAGCCTGAGCTGAAACAAGATAACAATGCCAAACCAAGTACACATTCACTATTGCCAGACCAACACTCCTATTAACAATTTCTTTGGCTCCCACTTCTAAACTTTATAAAAGGAGAATGTCCATGAAATAATTACCTTAGCTTAACAT